TCACTTGAGTTAAAAATAAAAATAAATAAAATTGATTACTCAGAGCTGTTAAAATACAATTGACTACTTGACATATAATTAATTTTCAGTGAATCAACATTAATTGTGATAATTACTCATAAAATGTTTAAAATATTAATTACTTTCTATTTTAGGAACATTTCTAATAATATATTAATTTTCTGATACACCATAGAAAAATTTGTATGATGATGATAAATAAGGAACTGAAATCCAAATAAGAAAATGGGGGAATATGGAACCAATTTCAATCACAAATTTACTCTCTTTTTAATTATGTGAATGTGCATGAGGGCAGGGAGGAAGGGAGGGAAAAGATATTGCTTTGGTCTGGATAATTCAGTATCCCCAGTGCTGCTAAATGCTATCGTGAAAGATTTTTTTTTTCCAGTGCCTAGGAGTTAGAAGAATATTTAATATTATATTTCCTATGTAGATAAATTAAGTTGGGTTACACAGTGTCAGGTGGAGCACAGAAGTTCAGTTGGTTTATTTCATTTGACTTGCAGATCTAACAATTTTGTTCTCCTTGCAGCAAGGGTAACAATTTTGTGTCACGTTCATTTTAAATACACAGTTCTTTTCAGCATTGTGCTCGCACACCTCATAAGCTGCTTAGTTAGCTACGTCAGCTGAGTACAGCACTGCCTTTCTTCAGGAGCACCAACCTTTTTAACTCCAGACTCCTTTCTGCGGGTGGGTCAGCAGCGCTAATTGTGTAGCAATCATCTCCAGGTAGCACATCTGTACTGCTATTATTGGTATTGTGTATGCTTGCAGCTATACTTTGTACGTGCACTGTATATACTGAGGCAAAATGAAAGTTCACTTTAATCATTCTGGGTAAACTTAAAAGGGTTTGGTGTATTTTGCTTCAGCTGAACGTATGTATAGCTTCCTCTCTGCCCACAAGTCAGTATGACCACTGTGCAAATAACAGCTAGTTTTCCGTATTACCTGTTTTCCTTCTTTTAAATCTACCTGTGATCTACTTATGGGCTTGCTGAAGTTCAAAGAAATCTTTGCATTGATTTCAGAACAAGTAGAATTATATCCTTGAGTATAAAGTCGTCTTGTCAGGGTGTGAATCATCTTATGTATCTCTGAAGTTTTGTGTTTCTGTAGAAGTGATAAATCACACAGAATGCCTAATCACTGGCTTCTCTAAATTCCTTCCAGTTAGCGTGACTGATTTGTTTATGTGCCATCTTTGCCAGACCAGTGAATTCCACCCATCTCACCCTGTCCTAGTGTGATCCTCAGCACTGTTAGTGTTGACAACTACAATCACGTTGTCTGTTTCTCTGTGTGGTGTTTAGGTGCTTTCCATCCTGTGGTAGTATGGCTGGGCATGAAATCATGGTGAAATTACAGCTAATACAAAAGGTGAAAGCCTGTCTCCTTAGCAACCTGGGCCACTGTGTGTGCTTAACCAGCCCATGCCGAAGTGGAAGACCTGGTGCTTATTTCCATGGTGTTTAATGGCAAATCTCAAGATTAACTACATCACCCCCTGAAGCTTTGGCATGAACATAGTGTTTGCAGAAAAGCAAACTACATCATCTTTTTTGCTTGTACAAGCAGGGGAGGATTTGGCTGCTTATAAAATAGGTACAGATGTGATGAAGTCTTTGCACAAGGTAGAGGAAAGTAGCAGCATTTTCTTCAGTTTCAGGTCATTTCTTCTGGGCTCTCTGTGTTCATGCCCTGCTGGGCAGAGCAGGCATCAGCAGTGCTGAGAGGCACTCTCAGCTCCAGGACTCCGACCGAAAAGGACAGATGCTTACAAAAAATAAGTATCTCTGAGTTCCTGATAGAGACAGGAACATAACAAAAGCTAAGTCAATGACATTTTTCCTTTTTGTATTTGACCTTTAGAGACTTCTACTCTGCAGGAAGTTGCAATAGTTTTCAGGGTCACCTGGCTGAATTTTTGTAAACAAAGAGAATGCAGATTAAGAGGAATATTTTCCTAAAAGAATCACTGCAGGCTCTGATGTTAGAATGGAGGAAAATCTGATAGCGTTTAATTCCCCTTGGTTAGAGTGCCAGTATTTTGCCATAGTGTCATTTTACTGCCATGTACCATGTTTATTGGAAGTGTAGCTGCTAGCTGTGGAGCAGAAGACATACAAAGATGCATTAATACATCCCTTTCTCTTTGGTAGGTAATACATTGGGAAACTAAGAAAAGCTCAGACTTCTTTTCTTTTTTAAAACAGCAGTTGCAGTATGCTTTCTTTTCCTGATCTATTATGAGTGCAGAGCCCTCTGATGCTCATATTATTTTAGTGTATCTTGCTGAACTTTCTAAGATTGAGATAAATAGCAAGTTTTGCCATTGGCCTGTAGTTACAAGCAATTGTGATATGCTTACAGAGGAAAAGGTGGTGTCTTTGAATGTGGGAGACCAGCTATATTTGTGGCACTGCTGATGAAGTCCAGTACGACCTTGAGCAGGTCCTTCTTTTCTTTCCCTTGAAAAAGAAAATATATTCTTCTGCATCATAAAGTTTGAGAACAAACAGATAAGTATTCATAAAGGACTCAGCACACTGATGAGAACCAGGCAACTTCCGAGGTAGTGTCACTTCCAGGAGATGGGCTCTAGCAGCTTTTTAACCAAGCAGATAAATATTTTTAATGTGTTAAAAAAGGAAGGAGGACACAATGCACTTAATCAGTCGCATATGGATGAGCTACTTGCACTGTCTGAGTCGTGGCCTTGAAAGCTGACTTGCATGATTTTTATTTTTTTTTTTCTGAGGAAGTGTTCTTGAGTATACAGATGATTTGGGGAACTGTATAAAGAAACAAAAACAATCAAGAAATACAGGCTTCCATTTCAATCTCTTAGCAAAACTGCAACTCCAGCCAACACCAGTATGGCCTCTTTAGAATATATTATTTAAGTATCTCTGGATCTCTACGGTGACTTTCTTATAAGTTTTTACATGAAATTTGATTTCTTTCTTTCTCTTTAAGTCATGGTATAAGGAAATGAAATTATCATATAGGCCTCTGAAATAAGGTTGGTGGTTTAAAGTGCTCTGCTTGAGTTGCGTAGAATCTATATACTGCACAATAAAACTCATCTTTTTCAAGAGATAGAGGGATCTCTGGGATGAGATCAAGGCTGTAATGAACTCTTTGAAGAACTAAGAAATATTTCAGAGCTTTCACTTAAGACATTCTGTTGAAGAGAAGGGAGATGGGAAAATGATCTTCATGTGACAAATTTGAAAAACACCGCATTAGCTAACAAAACTCTGCCTCTTCAAATTGAAGAAAGAAAATCCCTGAACCCTCTTTTGCAGTGCTTACTTTCATTTTCCCCCATTCTCTTTATTTGATAATTGATGTGTATGGGAATGTGTGTGTTTTTCTCATATGGTTTGCAGACATTTTGCTGACCACTTTATCATGTCTTACAGATCACCAGTGTTCCTTAGACAATAGTTACGAAACACTGGTCTAATACTCTATCAGAAGATTCTTTGACATTACAGCAATAAAGGGGAAATACCACTGTCAGTAGGGTATGAAAAGAAATTTCTTTGGGATACTAACCTGGAAAAATTGAGGAGGAAGGGAGAGATCTCAACACTTGTCAAAAAATTGATAGAAAATTCAGAAAAGGTCTTAATTTTTCTGGACTGATTTGCTCTAGGAAAATAACTATCAGTATATGGCAAAGGAATTAAGTAATGTTCAACTTTACTGCCTAAAACCAGAGTAAGAGATGGACAGGTCCTGTGGGCCTCTTGGATAGAATCTCTACCAGAGGCAGGAACGCCTCTGTTAGGTGCAGCTTATGGAGAAAGTAACCAAAAGGTTAAGCTGGAATCGGCAGCTTCTCCAGAACAGTTTTCTTACAGCGGTCTTTGAGTGGCTTTCTGCCAGTAGCTACCTGGGGAGCTGACTTGCATGTTGGCACCTCTGCAAAGCATTGTCCCAAATTGAAGCCCTAACAGAAGAACTCGGAAGTACTACAGAAGTAAAAAAAAAAAAATCTCATCTAGAACATAGGTACAGCCCACCGCAGGACATGCTGTCAGAATTCCTGTTTATCTTAAATACAAATTGGTAACAATACTTAAAACTATGAGAAAAATGATGGAAGCTGATAATAGCAATATTTGGGGATCTGACAGATTTTCAAAGCAATTTGTCTAATTGATGAGATTTGGAAGACAACCTTGAGGCAGGATTCCAAATCATGATAGAATGAAAGGCAGTGAAGCTGCAATTTTTGTCTCCTCTTTTCAAAGATAACGTTGAACATTAGTTTGAATCACACATTTAGACGCAGAATTGTTTCTAGCTTATATGAATAGTTAGCTTATGATCAGAATGCAAGCAGTGGGTTAGCTGGAAGTGTGCATCAAGTTTGTGATGTAAAACAGTTCTGATGTCCAAGGAGAGATTCCTGTTAGCTTTAGTTTTCTTAGACAAGGTATGTGGTATGTTAATTAAGGGTTTTTTAAACTACTTAGATCTAGCAGAGACAAACTAAAAAAAAAAAAAAAAAAAAATTGGCAGAAATGACTGATGAAATATTCTTATCTAAAAAACAGCTGTGCAGGTCAGGCTATCCTCATGAATAGTCATAGAAGTTAATAAGAATAACATCAATAGGGTTGTCTCCTATTGTAATAGGTTTTGTAACAAGTGCTTTCAAAACCAGAATTTAGTAGAGTGATGTTCTTTGTGTAGATATTTGAAGCATCCCATGGAGCTTAATGTATTTTAAAAAACAGGGAGATTGTTTTTAAAGAAAACAAATGTAAGAGAAGTTCCAATTTACTGTTACATTTTTGTTGGGCTTTTCCTAACTGGGATATACAGGGAAAGATATGGATTTGAAAGCTACATAGGATTTTAGACATGACTCAAAAAAGTACTTTCATGCCACGCTAGGATGGCATGAATTGTACATTAGGTTAAAACGTTGTTTTCTCTGCTTTTTTTTCTGATAGGTCATTGCTTGTGAACAACAGTATGACTACTCATATGATGCTCGATGTGACGTATGGTCCTTGGGAATAACAGCTATTGAACTAGGGGATGGAGACCCTCCTTTATTTGACATGCATCCAGTGAAAACCCTCTTTAAAATTCCAAGGTATGGCACTAGATGGCTCTCTTCACTCACTAGTTTGTTCAAAGGCAATCTAGTCAAAGGAGAAATATTTGGTAAACGTTTGTGCTTCAAATCCTAAGAATGTCTCATGGGAAAAGATGTTAAAAAGCTGTAATGTTAAAGACTTCTTTTTTTTTTCCAGCCTGACTTCTACAATAATTTATATTTAGAATGCCTTGAAATGATAAAGACTTACGTATTTATTTTATTCTTATCTTAGAATATAAAATTGTATAATATCAAGGTAGCTCCCATAAAAAGTACTTTTCTTAGCTGCTGTTGATGAAAACATTTACTTCAAAAGAGGAAGAGGCCAACACTTGTAACTGTTGAATAACATTTTAAAGTGTTATTCCCCTAGAGAATTAGCCTTGTTTTAGTGTGAAAGAAAGCCACACAATTTTGACAGTGCTCTGAAGCTGTCTGGCAGTTTCAGCAAACTGTAGTTATAATTTATTTTTTCATTTACCTAAGGATGTTAAAATGTGAAGATTTGGATTGTCATATATGGATATAAAAAAGGGATAGAAATTCCATCTATGTATAGTGATGTCAATTAGCTGTATTATTTCATGCTATTTTTGGTTTCATTTTGTTGAGTTGTCCTGAGTAAGTTGAGATTGACACCGTAGAGTTTAACAACAGAACAGTTGTAATAACAGAAGAAATATAGAAAGAATTTGTCTGTCATTGATTAGACTGGCATATACTTGTCTTTTGCACATTTTGGTTGTAAAGACAGAATCACCACTGACTGATAACAGCAATAAACCTTCAGCAATACAAGTGTTTGACCTTTTGTTATCTGCACAGTTATCACAGGCTTTTAAAATTTCTTCTGATTGCAATTTGCATTTCTGATTAAGTCTATTTATATGCAGATGCTGTTGTGCTGGGTTCTGCGTCATATAGTTATCTCCTTCTACCCAGCTCAGACATGAACTGCCACCAATCTTTCCAAAATTATTCATACTGAAACAGCAGTTCATCTTGTTGCCTTTGCACAAGTGTAAAACCGGTCCTGGCAATTAAGGAAGCAAGGGAGGCTTCAGATTACTAAAGCAGTATCTATAAATTTGATCAACTCTCAGAACGGTTTAAAAGGATAGGAGTCATACCAAAAGTAACAGCATGTAATAGGCAGATACGTAGAATAGGGCATGAAGAGGCGTTGATTTCTATGTATAGTTACCTCTTCCCCCGTTTACTGTTGCATCTCTGTATGACTTTGCAAAACAAAGGTGAAGTATCTATCTGCTTAATTAAATAATGGGTACATTTACTCAACAGAATGGTAGCAATTTTTAAGTTGAGAGATTTACCTCCGCTTTGCGTTTTATGAGCAATAACCCTGCTGTTGGTAACTGTGCATTCATGTTAGATAAAGTGGACTATGATAAGTGCTGGAGTGTGGGAGATAGAGCTTCTCTCCTGGTACTTGTTTGAAGTCAATTCAGAGGGATAGTATATATGACCAAAAGGTGCATTCCCCTCTTATAGTAGTTTGACATTTTAGAAGTAATCTTAGTGCAGATCCTGATATCTGTGCTGCAATTCACACATTTTAACAGCATTTTCAACATGAACATTTAGGCTCTTCTCAGGTTCTTCAAGCACTGGCTGTTGAGTGCTCAAGCAGTGACGTATAGAAGCATTGCAGCTCACCTTCTGAGACTGTTCAATCCAAAATCCTCTGAGCTCAGGGATCTGGCATTTTTACTTTTTCTGCTTTCATGATAATATCTGTGTCTGAAGTTATAAATGCAAATGTTAAGCCATTTGGTTATTTTTAAGTAGTTGGTATCCTTGAATATCATCTCTGAATTTATCCAATACAAATTCTCAACTACTATAACATCTAGTAGCAAAGAAGCCTACAGGGTGGCTATATTTTATTGGAAGAACTCCTTTTGTGTGCCACTTGCTAGCTTTATTTGGTAACCCTTAACTGCCTTATGAGAAGAGGAAAGGTACAGTCAATCCCTATTTCCCCTCTCCACATGACATAATGTCATTGTAAGTTCCAATCAAAAGAAAAGGAACCCTTTTTATTTTTTCTTTTCTTTTTTTGTTGTTGCTTCTCAGCTTCTTGCCCAAGACTTTTTCTGCATCTGTTGTGCATTTGAGCCAAGGCTCTCAGCCCTAGTTTTTGGCCCAGCAAGACTATGGACTTGGGTTTCTTAACTCCAGAGGCATTTGTGCTGTGCACAGGGATCTTCATGTCTTAAAATTGCTCTGCTGGTACCTGCAATCGAACAGCTTGGGTTAGGGTGGAATGAATAAGAGGTAGCATACTTATGTAGCTCGAATTCTTGTCTCAGCTGAGGGGTGGTAACCACTAGTGCCTGCCACCTCCTGCTTTCTGTAGGAGGCTGCCTGCCTGAGCTTTTCCTCTACAGAGGGCTCTGCTCCACCCATGGTTTAAATCAAGATGTAATTCTGCACATCTGATGGGACAGTGGAAGGGCTCACTAAGCTTACTGCCCTCAGTTCACAAATGGTGACAGCACTGCTCTCAAGTCTGGAGCTCCTGAAGGATATAGTGAGAAAGAACTCATGGTTTTGCTTTCACCTGGAAAATGGCCACTAGCAGGAAGTTAGCGGGTTCTGAAATTATATCACAACTGTAATTTGCCATTTAAACCACATTAATATTGGAGTACAATGGAGCTGAATACTAAGGTGTACACATCTAATTCTGGAGGTAGTTTCAAGACCTGGGTCAGGAAGCAGTATAACCTTGTATAACTCCAGCACTGGGGGCAGTACCCACAGTCTAATTTCTGACAGACATACATAATTTAATTTGTTGGTAACAGCTCCTCTCTCAGCTGTGGTTTCCTGTGGTTTGATGTGAAACTGGCAAATCATGTTTCAACTATTGTTAAATGTACTGAATGCACTAATACCAAGTGACACCAGAGTGTGTTGCATAGTTGTGGTGTGACTGTGGTACCCTACAGTCAAGCTCCATTTTATCAAAGTGTAAAAAGCTTCTGCGAATAATGAGCAATAAATGTAATGGGATATTGATTTAGTGCATATATCTGATTTCTGTGTGTTGTCCCAGGATAATTTTTGTTGATTGGGCTGATTTAACTTTAGTTTGGAGAAGAAGAGGTGAAAAGGCTATTCATGATAAAATGACTCTTGGACATCAGTCAGGCAGAGTTACTAGGAATTATTTCCTTATTCCTTTACGTTCTTGACTATAGTTGATCCATATCTTTCTATTTGTACTGTCTTCTGTGTGCTAGACCCATCTGGGTGCTGATGATTTCTTTACATTAGCAGAAAACTTTGCAGTAGTTTTCAAGATTGTTATCAAGCACTGAACAACCTGTTCTTATGAATGTACTTAAAAATGTTAGTAAGGGTGAAATTGCCAAAGCTAGGTACAGAAATATGTGTGTGTGTTTCCACAGAATTCTTCCATTCTCAAGTAGGGAATAAAGTAGTAAAGTTTCTGTGTCAGTTTAGTCATTGGCTTTTTTCTAGAGACAGCCAGTAATTGTGCCGTTAGCCTTGGCACTGAGTTTCAACCTAGTGAGCTGTGGAGTTAGGCCTTAGTCTTAAGTGACTATAATTGAAATCACTGAGTCTTTACTTTGACTTTATAGAGTTTGAATCAACCGTTGAATGAATGATTTTGTACTAACAGTCACAGCAGTTACATGTCCTCAAGATCTTTGGAGATTTCGTCTTGTGTATAACTCAAGTCAAGGATTAGGCTGTTACTGTTTTAATGTGCAGTAGCACGTGAAAGGAAAATGGGAAAAGCTAACAGTAGCCAAACATCCTACACTGTTTGTGTTCTCTAAACAAGAAGCAAATAAGGTATTAAATTCAGATGGTGCTAGTTACAAAGCCTAGATGTTCTTCCAGTAGGTAAGAAATTACATTTCTCTATACTTTCTGTACAGCAGTTATAACTGTGGAAGGGAAGGTCAGAGTAGCACTGCTTTAGAAAATTAAATATTCAGCAAAGCATAGTCAAAATTTCAGTCTGCAGGAAACTCTCTGGGGGAATGAAAACTTTGTTCCTAAACTTAAGACTTCTGCTAAAATTACCAGCTCCAACTAACACAGGTTCATGTCTGCATTATATAACTGGAACCAGGGACTGAGCTCCAGGCCAAATGGCTCAGAGGTCTGCAAAGGAGCATATCTGTGGATACAGCATAGGACCCCAAAATGTTTGGGTCATATGGCACTGGTGGAAGAGGAGGCCCCTTATGCCCATTTAAATCCAGATCTATCTTCATAATTTCTATTTGAAATATATTACCCTCTTTGGAGGACGTTAACGGAAAACAACATACCTCACAATAAAACATTCCAGTTGTCATGAACATTATCTCTATCCCATCCTAGCTATATGTATCATTGGAAGACTATTGAAATTAGGCTTCTCCCAGTCATACTTCTCTGTGCAGGCTAGTATTTATATAGAAATGACAGAACTTGTAGCCCTGTGAGCTGTCAAATAAGACTGGAGGTTGGTCCATAAGGCAGAAGTTCATAATATGGAAGGTTCTGATGGCACTAAGATGTTTGATTTTTGCATTGTCCGTTAGTGCTCTGTATTTTTGTAACTTTTTATTTTATGTTTTTCACATCTATGTCCTTTCAGAATTCCTGAAAAAGGACTCAAATACTTTTGTTTCTGATCAGGATCCTGTCTGCTGAAAGTGTTTTTTAAAGATATTTCTTAACAGGACTTTGTAGGTAACAAGGCCTCAATCATGTGTCTGTCTCTCTCTTTGTCTCTTCCATCTCCTCAACATGAGCAGCAACTGTCTTGTCTGATTGCTGTGCCTTTCTAAATAAAGAACTTGACTTACCCTTTCTTATTGGCAGTTCTCTTCCCCATCTTGTTCAGGGTAAGGATTTTATTACAAAGATTCTAGTGAAAGGCCCATAAATGCTTCTGTTCGATAAATAGCATTAGTTGAAAGACTGCAAATAGATGTGTTGCTCCC